TCCAGATCCCTCAACAATTCGAACTTGGGGCCTTTAATTTGTATTCGTGGAGTATCATGTCGGACTCTACGATGACAAAGTTTACCTTTTTATTTCCCCTTTTTCCCTCTCTTTAATTCGGGTAATTTCAAAATGACCGCAAAGACGAAAAAAAAAATGTTGTGTGTCTATTTAGAGGAACGCTAAATGACACAAACCAGCATTCAAGTATATAAGAGTATTTCCCTATTCACTCATACTCTGGAGTTTCATTAATCTCTGTTACTTGTAAACAGACGTTTGCGGGAGTAAGAAGCACTGCAATATGGAAGAAACTCACTCTCTATCCCTTTGCGGTCTGTATTCCCTCCTTTTTTCCCTTGCCTTCTGCTGCTCTTATCACCAATTCCATCCTCTTCCTCTTCCTTATTACGGTATCGGTTCACGTGCGTCGCCCTGCCATCGGCGCATTCCTCCGTCAACTGACGCTAATGCGTGTGCCATAACCTCTAACCCGTGTCCCGATGTGCTGACCCCCCACTCTCTCTCTCTCCTCTCTCTCTCTCTCTCTCTCTCTCTCTCTCTCTCTCTCTCCTCTCTCATCTCCTCTCTCTCCTCTCTCTCTCCTCCCTCTCCCTCCCTCCCTCCCTCCCTCCCCTCCTCCTCTCTCTCTCTCTCTCTCTCTCTCCTCTCTCTCTCTCTCTCCACCTCTCTCTCTCTCTCTCTCTCTCACTCTCCCTCCTCTCCTCTCCCTCTCCTCCCTCTCCCCTCCCTCTCCTCTACCTCTCTCTCTCCTCTCCATCTCTCTCTCCTCCCTCCCCTTTCTCCTTCCTCCCTCCTACCTCCCCCTTCCTCCTCCTCCTCCTCCTTCTCTCTCTCACCTCCTGTCTCGTCTCTCCCACTCTCCTCTCCTCTCTCTTCTCCCTCCGTCCCTCTCTCTCTCCTCATCCTCCTCTCCCCTCTCTCTCTGTCCTCATCTCCCTCTCCCTCACTTCCTCACCTCTTCCTCCCCCTCCTCCTCACTCTCGCCTCCTCCTCCCCCTCGTCCTCTCCTCGTCTCTCTCTCCACTCTCTCATCTCATTCTCTTCGTCTCTCTCCCCCCCCCTGCCTCTCTCTCTCCCTCTCCCTCCTCTCTCTCTCTCCCCCTACCTCTCTCTTCTCTCTTTCGCTCTTCATCTGTCTTATCGTCTTTTCTCGTCTTTTCGATCTCTCTTCTCTTCCGTCCGTCTCCTGTGCCTCTTCTTCTCTGCTTTCTCTTTTTCTTTTTCTCTCTGTTCTCTTTCTTCCCTTTTTTCTCATCTCATTCATTTCTCTCTCTCTCTTCTCTTCTCCCCTCTTTTTCTTTCTCTCTATCTTTTCCCTCTTCTCTTTCTTTTATTCTTTTTTTTTCTTTTCTTTTTGCTGTTCTCCTTTTTTTTTTTTTTTTTTTTTCTTTTTTTTTTTTTTTCTTTTTTTTTTTTTTCCTTTTTTTTTTTTTTTTTTGTTTTCTTTTCTTTTTTTTTTTTTCTTTTTTTTTTTTTTCTCTTTCTTTTTTTTTTTTTTTTTCATTTTTTGGTACGCCTCTTGCGTTTGCTCTCCTCTTTCCTCTCTCGCTCCTCTCTCTCTCTCTCTCCCTGCTTCTGCACTCTCTAGCGGTTCGTCGGTGTTTCTGGCGGCTCATTTACGTTAAGTTGTCGTCGCATTTCTCTATTTCTTTTCGTTTTTCTTATCTCTCTCTCTCTCCTTTTTCGTCTGGAC